GGGAGATTTTCTGACTATAAGAATTCACTGATTATACATGAAAGTTTTAGCTAACACAGAGAGCTGCTGCAAGGGAGATCCTTGGGCCACACTCAAACATTACTCAGGAGGCCTGAGTGTCAGTTAGCATTGCCAAGAATTATCTTAACTGAATTTCAAAGTGGTTTTCCCCCCATAGATGCCTCAGGTTCTTTTAAGTATAACTTAAAATTAGGCAATAATAGGCTAGCTTCCTAGCTCAATGTGGCCAAGCAGTACAGACTCCTGAGGAGTGGCAATGAACTTCTTGATTGTTAATCTTATGGGGAACCCACTGCCTCCATATACACTCATTCACTTTAGTTTGAATGTTTTGGTTGGTTGATTGTGGTTTTTGTTTATTTGTTTTGAGACAGCATCTCATTTTTTGCTATAACCTAGGCTGGTCTCAAATCATAATCTTCCTGCCTAGGCCTCCCCAAAGCTAGGAATGTACCACCATGCATGGCCTCAAGTTTTAACTCTGAGCCTGCAGGCTCTTCAATGATTTGATTGATTATAAAATCTTGTCTACTTAGAACACATTGACAGATGTTTCATATCTAAACTACTTTCATCATACTCAAATCCCAAATTTCTGATAAAAATCACTTTTGCTTAAGGTTCTAGAAACTCAGGAGCCCTGAGCCACATAGAAGGGTTGGCCTCATTGAACTGGGCAGGAAAATTCTCATAATGCCATGTGCTGGACATAGAGAGCTCCTAAGAGCTCCAGGCTGCTTTCTTTCCTTTCTGTGGACAGGAGTTAAATGATACCTGCTCCCACCCATCTCCAGCTGTTTCCTCAGTGATGATTGCACCAGTGACATGCTCAGGGCTTTGTCATTTCTCCAGCCTAGCTTCCTGTGACAGATATCTGAATAACGGCTTATGACTCATCCCTGCCCCTTTAACTGGGACAATAACTTTGGATGAGTTGTCTTTTGTTTACTAGTGAGAAACAGCATTTTATTCATATGGTCACTAAATAGTACCAAACTGTGTCAACAAACGTTTTGAATGATGGAGAAGAAAAGGGAAACGACAGAATGTGGTCTAGTCTAGCGCTTCCGTGTAAGGCTCGGTGTCAGCAGTCTTGTAGCATTCCTGACAGCCTCAATGACTCACTTTGGGCAAGTCATACTATGTTTGCTGGTTGCTTTTTGGACCAGAAATGTGACTGCGGTTTGCTTGGCCCAGGATCAAGTTGTTGGATAGGCACTTCAACTACAAATGCAGGACTGAAAAGATTATCCACACAGCAGGTAAGTAACTGTCCTTGACTATGAAGTGTCTGTCATTGCAAAAAAAAGATGAATTTGTGATGGGACTGTGAATGAGAAATTTCTCTAGCTCAGCACATTAATAAGACAGGCCAATGACAACACAGTGGACAGTAACAGGGATGACAGAATATATGGGCTCCAGTAGGGTGGGGGTGGGGGCTATGGGAGGGTGCCATTTGGGATGTGTGTGTGTATAGATGAACAAGATTGTTTGGGATGTTTCTGTATGAAATACACACAAAAAAAATCAACAAATAAAAAAATGAGTTATATTTGAGGAAGAAGCATTAAAATTTGCTTCATGTTAATTAGTAAAGGTGAAAAACATTACCATTGAAATCTACCTGATGACTTTATATCCATGCTCAGGTGACAAGGATCTGTATGTAACTGACTGTGACTAGTAATAATCAGATACATAGAGATTAGAGACTCTTGTACAAACATCTAAGTGTTAGTAGCATTAAAAATTAATTTTTCTATATGAAACAGTCTATTTTAAAACGAAATGGAGATCTTTTTTAAAGGTTAAAACCTCATTCAATTTTATGTCTTACAGGGTTTATACTGAGTTCAATATTGTTATAACTATATTAATTCAACTGTGAACACAAAAATTTACAGCAAATTTTGAAAGAGATGCATCTTTCCTCTGGAAATTTTTATTGAATATTGTCTTAGTTTGTTCTTCATTGCTGTGACAAAACACTCTGACCACTACCAACTTGGGGAGGAAAAGGTTTATTTAGCTTACATATCCCAGGTCACAGTTCATCCGGGAGCTCAAGGTAGGAACTCAGGGCAGAAACTTAGAGGCAGGAGCTGGTGGAGTACAGGCCATAGAGGAGTGCTGCTTACTGGCTTGCTCTAATGGCCCCTGCTCAGCCTGCTTTCTTATGCAACACAGGCCCACCTGCCCAGGGGTGGCACTACCCACAGTGGGATGGGCCTTCCCACATCACTCATCAAGAAGATGCCCCTCAGACATTGGCCACAGGCCAGTCCAATAGAGGAAATTCCCCAACTGAGGCTCCCTCAATCTAGATGTGTCAAATTGACACTAAAGCTATCCAGCACAAATATGTTAATGGTGTAATGAAATGCTTCTTCTAATCGTGTGGTCATTAAACAAATAATTAAAAATAAATAAATAAAAAGTAATAATAATAATAATAATAATACAGGCCAAAAGTGGAACAGATTGTTTCAAGTGATGATTTTCAGGTTTGTTTAGGGACTTCTAGAATCTTTAGAGAATCTTTAGAGATCCTTCTCACCTTGGACAGAATGATTTCCCTCTTCATGGCTGTGCCAGTTTGGGTCCTCCTAGAAGCAAGCACTAAGCTAGAATCAGGTAGGGAAGAGGATTCCTGGGGAGAAATGACTGTGAAGGACTAAGGCAGAAGAAGCCAACATAGCTGGGACAAGATTGGCATCCTTGGTGCTGTAGGCACTGTGTCTAAAAGCCATCACATTTTTAAGGTTCCATGACAATGTTTTAATTTCAGTTATTTATTATTTCATTTTATGTGTATGAGTGTATTGCCTGCATTTATGTTAAGTGCACTTGGTCATGCAATGCCCAAGGAGGTCAGAAGAGGGCATCAGATCCCCTAGAACTGGAGTTATGGACTTGTCAGCCACCATGTGGGTGCTAGGAACTGAGGCCAGGTCCTCTGCAAACCACTGAGCTATTTCTCCAGCCCTAAATTCATGTTATTTTAAAATAAAAACAAAAGCAAAAATAACAAATCCAGCCTAGATGACTTCATCTTTACATCAATGTAGTCATAGACTAGACATTTTCATACTGAATGGAGGAATGAAAGTACCTAGTACCCACAGAAATTATAATGTGACTCTGGGTGAAAAGCACCTTCAGCACATGGTGCAAATCCCAAGAAAGAGGAGCAGCCAGACCACAGGGAGAATGGTGCAGCTCTAGTCTCCTGGTTGCTCATTCACTGTGAACAGCTAGAGTGGTGTGTCCTTGGTACAAACACTATCATGGATCTAAAGGTGAGGAGACTGAGGCTGACAGGCAGTTAAGGTACCTATAGCAAGTTCTCCTGAAAGAGAACTCAGTGGCCCACCTCCATGGCCCCTCAGTGAGGTAACCAAGGAAACAAAGTATTATAGCCCTCTCTCTCTCTTCCTAAAGGTACATCTTGTGAAGGGATATTGTTTCACTGATAAAACATATTACAAAAGACAATAAAGACTTGATCTCTGTCTTTGATGTGCACATGAGTTCTTAGCAAATGGAGTCATGTTAGAATGAAGTTGAAGTCAAGCATGGTCATAAGTCGTTTTCTTTACTAAGTTGGCTTGACCTCAAGATTTTATTAGAGGAGTATTTGACCTTAAGACATGAGGTGGCCTTACTACCATATTGAAAGTTCTTTGATTATGTCCAACCTGCATTTTATTTGGCCCACACAAAGTTTATATATATATATATATATATGGGAGAGTTTATTATATGTTAAATTTATATACTGTGGTCCTAACTCCTGGTACTTCAGAGTGTGACCTTGTTTGCAAACAGAGTGGACAGCAGGTTGCTCTATGTTGGGGGAAACATGAGGCTAAGACTTCTTACATCCTAATATCCTGATTAGCATAGAGTCAGTCATAAGTAGGTTCTATAACCTCCCATAACAGTGTCACTATTCGGGGACCAAATGTTCAAACACGTGAGCCTGTTGGAGACATTTTACATTCAAAGCATAGCATGGAGTCATTGAATATGCAATTAATGAAGATGAAGTCATGTGGAAGTAAGGTGGATTAATTAATTAAATTTAAAAACATTCAAGAGGATGTGCTACATGCAAATACTGGTCCATTTTATATTTGGGACTCAAGCATTGAGAGTTCAGTATGTTCAATGGGTCCTAGATCTAATCTGATCTGGTTACTAAAAGATGACTGTATTTTCATTTTAGATATCAGGAAATTGAGGCCTAGAGAAATTAGGAAATCTGCTCAAGGTCTCAGCACTACACCAGGGAAGCAGGAGTCAAAATCAGTTCTTTTCGATGGCAGGCCAAAGCTGTCCCGATTCTGCTACATGATTTCTCTGTTTTCAGCCTTCAGTGGAAGTCAGGCTGTGGATTTTCCCGGTGGTAGTGTCACTAGGGTCTGTCAACAGTGGTATCCCAAGTTCAGACTCCCAAATTCTAGCCCTGCCTACAGTCCATTGACTTACATGATCTATTAGCAATGTACAAATTACCATCTAGTTTGTGTGGACACTCTTTAAGTTTCACTCAAATATAACATTTTGTATAAATTAGAAAAACTGCCCAGGCATGTTTCATAATAGATGGTATGTTCTTGAGGTCTTATAACTCAAAGACTTGGGAAGGGATCACATCTGATACAGTGATGTGTTCAGACTATGAAAATTCAAGTCCTTTGCAGATGACACATCTCCCTTCCTGTATGGATAATTTACTTCAGTGAAAGAGAAAAAATGTTAATGCTTCTCACTTGACATTTAGAGTGTGTAAAAAACCCAGGTGCCCATCTCCCAGGTAAGACATTTATGTACTCATGACCAGGCTGCTTTACATGCATCATTTTTCTCTCCACCACTCCCAATGCACTGTGCTGAAGTGAGTTCCAGAACAGAACAGATTCATCTGCAGTCTCCCAGCTTGTCTTACCCTATAATCTGTTTGTGATTTCCAGGTCACTATATGTATGTGGACTCAGTTTACGTCAAACATTTCCAGGAAGTGGCCCAGCTCATCTCCCCAATGACTACGGCTCCCATGTCTGGCTGCCTGTCCTTCTATTATCAGCTCCAACAGGGGAATGACAGTGTCTTCTCTCTTTACACTCGGGATGTGACTGGCCTGTACGAGGAGATCTGGAAAGTAGACAGTCCAGGCAATACTGCCTGGAACCTTGCAGAAGTCGAGTTCAGTGCTCCTTACCCTATGGAGGTAAGTGTTGCCTGGCGCGGTGGTATACAGAGATGCCACACACAGGCCTGGACGTCAATCCACTCTACAGCCTCACATTCGTCTTTCTTTCCTGACATCAGTCACTTTTTAAAATTTAATAACCACATGATTAGGAGAAGCATTTCCAATAGATACACATTGGATTTCTTTTTAAAGTCTTATTTTTGTTTGAGTAAACCATAACTGTATCCATTTATGTAGTAAAATGTGAAATTTTTTAGCTAGGATCTCACTGTATAACCATGGCTGGCCTCACACTCACAGAGTTCCACCTGCCTCTGCCTCTCCAGTGCTTGGATGAAAGGTGTGCACTGCCATACCCAACAAAATGTGATATTTTGATACCTGTATACTAAGCATGATAATAGAGTCATGATAATTAGCACATGTATCATCGCAGACATTTATCATTTGTTGGCAGGGCAACATTCAGAATGTTCTCTCCTAGGTATTCTGTATTATACAATACATCATTATTGAGTATATTTGACCTATAGTGCATTAAGAAAAAATTATTCTTCCAACTCAATTGTAATTTTGTATCCACTAACCAACATGTCCCTTTCCCCTTCTACTCCTGATGTACCTCTATTATAATCTTTTTTTAAAAAAAACTTAAGACTATTTTTGTGTGCTTTTTCAATTTAATTTTTGAGGATTTTATACACAAGTACTATATTTACATCACTTCCATCCTTCTTTCTCGCCCCTCCAACTCATCCTATGTCCCTCTCACTCCCTCTCCAATACATGACCTCTTCTTCTACATATATGTTCATATATGTAAACTACCTACTGAACCCACTTAGTGTTGCTCATATGTGCATGTGTTTAGGTACTTGGGACTGGATGATCAGGGAGCTCAACCATGGAGAAAGCCGATTCTCTCTCTCAGCAGCCATTGATTGTCTATAGCACTCCATGCAAAGGTGGAACCTTGTGAAATTCCCCCCATTCATGTTGGTATATCAGATGATATTGTCACTGTGCAAATTTTGTTTAGGCAACCATACAGTTGAGATTTCATGAGTGCATCTTCCCTGTCATGTTTTGAATACTATCTAGCAGCAGGCATCCTGGTCCTCTGGTTCTTACAGTCTTTCTACCCCCTCTTCTATGATGTTCTCTGGGCCTTAGGTATAGGGGTTGTACTGTAGGTGTATCAATTGGGGCTGAGCACCCCACAGTTACTTTTTCTCTTTATTTTTGACTGTTATGAATCTTTGTGATAGCCTTTGTCTGCAAAACGAAGCTTCTTTAATAAAGGGTCAAAGCTAAACTTATCTGTGGGTATAAGGCTAATTATTTAGATTACAGTTAGAAATTATATTGGTTTAGGAAAATGGAAATACTAGGTTCTCTAGTGCTAGTGTCGATGACCTCTCCAGTCACAAGTATTTGGCTATGTTCATAATATTAGGCATGAATTCCTTCCTACTGAGATGGACTTAATCCCAATTAGACAGTTGTTAGTTACCCCCAAGATAAAAGTACCATTATTGCATTATTGGAGATATCCTTCCAAGCTGGTCATTGTTATGGTTTGTAGACTTTACAGCTAAGTGTGATTATTGGTTGCTTCTCTCACCTGACAGCTTGATAGCACCTTCTGATTCTATGAGAGCTAGACCTCAGTGAGGAGGCTTCCAAGTCAGTTCTAGCTTGATTCCTCCAAGTCCTATGTCCTAAGTGTATGGTATCTTTAGCTATAGGGCCTTACCTTCAAGTTCTGGGAGGCAACCAAGGGCTGTGACAATAGCCTATATTCTTTTGGGAGTATCTCAGACTTTCTTGATCAGAAACTCACAGGGAGGTTTCCCACACCTGGCACTGGGGTTTTTGTTAGTCTATGGCTCTTGGGGGAAATATTATCTCCCCATGTGGTATAATTCCCTTTAAATCATACATAGTTCATGCACATATATCATCAGGAAAGTAAAAAAAGATCATGGGGTGGAGGAGAAGACACTCTAGAGGAGGGACAGAAGGACGATGATGCTATAAAAGGGAAAATGGGAGAAATGGAGGTTGGGACTTTAACTGGGGAGTGGAGAGGGAGGGCAATGCAGAGGGAGAAGGAGAAAGGAGAGATAAAGAACTCTAAGGATGTTTGAAAAAGTCATAGTTAAACATATTATTTCATAAGCTTACTTAAAAATACATAGACAATATATGAGTGTGAGCTATATATGGTTTAAAGGGAATTATACAACATGAGGAGAAAATGCTTCCCCCAAGAGTCAAAGACTAACAAAACCAGGAGCTCAGAGTCCCAGAGCACATTCCTGAACTTTACCCTAATGTTCCCAGTCACCTGGCTGTGGTCTTTGTGCTCTACTCAGATAGATATTTGGGGCAGGCAAAGAGAGATTCTTTAAGTACTGGTCTTTGGAAGCTTTTGCTTCTCTCTGTGTTGGGCATCAGAAGGAGGTAGGAGCAACCGTGGCAGCAAGTGCCGCCCTGTAGCTGCAGCTCTTGTGAGGTCTCTGATTTCTAGACCCTGCACCCTACAGGTGTTACAGTGCTTGTGTCGGCCTCTGATGTCACTATTCCTCAGCCTTGAACTCCAACTCTTGGCTTAGGGTCTGAGACCCTTGACCCCAAAGATTTGACAGCTCTCTGAAACTTTTTCAGTGACAAAGACTTGTGGGTTCTCTTCTGCGAACTCTTGCATTCTTTTATCCTTCTTTAGTCTCTGTTTTCCATCTTTTACCCTCTCTCCAATTTCACTCCCTGTGTTCTTCCTATCCAGCCACTCTCAAGCTATGTAGCTGCTCCTTCAGCTGTCCAGGACCAGCTGCCTTGCCACCTTGGCAGCTCTGCCTTCTTGACAGCTCTGTTGCCGCTGTACTGCTGCTCTATCTGCTGTCTCTGCTACTTCACATTACTAGCTCAGCCCACACTACAGAAAGTAGCTAAGATCACTGGAGAGAATCTTTTTATTGAGCCTAATGTTTCAACACCAGGGAAGGCGGCCCAGCAGTGTTTTCCAATCAATTCACTAAGCCAGCCTGAGCAGCTTGCTTATGTAGTTAGAGAATCAATCACAGCCGTGGAGGCTTATGTTGGAATCAATCACAGTCTTGCTTCTTTAGCACTAGTCACAGAAGCCCTTTTGCCAGGCCCGTCTGGCATAGGTGAAAATGGTTGCAAGGTCATCTAGAGTCCACTGAGACTTGTGTTAGCAAAACATCTGGTACAAACTGTCCGACAGCCCTGGCTGGAGTTGTGCCTTCAGAAGCCAGGGCAATCTTTTGTAACCATTGTGTAGTTTTCTCAGGGTGTCTATGCAGCATTCAAGATGGCTGGTGCTGGCACAAGAGTAGCCTGGCTGGTTGCTAGACTGATAGTCCTTTGACTCAAAGCTGTCTAGGCAGCAAGAAAGAGCTGATAACTACTAATTAGGGAGTCAGGTTACCCCATCCCTAGCATCTCTGCTTATTGACAGGAAAATGAACAACAGAAGGAGTGCTTACAACACAAATTTAAAGAAGTTATCATACTATCATATGATTAGTATCATAATGATTATCAATACTAATCATGGTTTTCACAGGTTTTAACCATGCTTAACACCTGCACAGTGTCCTAAGGAGAGTTGGGTCCCCTTTATCTATGTTACCAAGAGCAGTTTTGAAGGTTTCTGTTAATTGGGGTTTCCCTTCATTTGTGTTTCTAGAAAAAAAAATACTTTCTTTGCAGCAAAAATAATGTTATAAACTCAGAAATAAACTATTAGAACCTTAATTTGAAAGAAATCATGGCGCCTTTTATGACATTAATTGACATTTTATGACATTTTACAATTATATAAATTATAATTATCCAAAGAAAAAGAATTAGAAATTTCAAAGAAGCAAATATAAGTTGAACGATGATGGAGTTTATTTCCATAGACTTTTTCTAAGCCCATATTTGAATACATATCTGCATGTATATATGCTGTTCAGAGCTGTCAACTTCTTTCAATACTGTCTAATAAAGTAAATAAAATTACCCCATATTTACAGATGATAAAGAAGAAAACAGTGTCCAAGAAGGTTGACATCTTTTTTCTAGGTCACACAGCTGGTAAATGCCAGAGAGCTTAGGAAACTTCCTAGACTGAAATTTAACACGGCTGAAGGAAGAGGCTCAGTTCTGTCTTGGGCCCCCACAGGGCCTCAAGGATTTGAGGGTGGAGCATCATGGTTGCTATGTGTGGAAGATTGCTATGAGGATTTGGAGCTATAAGTAGAGTCTTAGTTACCAGCAGTTATTAATACCCCCACTTTTCACTTTGTGCTTTTTACAGTGTCTTTCTCCAGTTCCCTTTAAAGAGCAGAAGTGACTTGTTCCTCTGGCTGCTTTTCAGTGGCTCCATCTGCTACCCTGCTGTCGAACTGAAGTACACTGGTTTCTGATGTACTCTGTCTGCTCTAATGTGCCTGACACCATCCACCTCCTTCCTATCCCTCTCAGCTCCCTTACCCCAAACAGCCCCAGAGAGAACACAGTGCCTCTCTAGAGTGTGAGCTATTTCCTGTCACAAAGTCTGACCAGGGCTTGATTTGCTCTTACAGCCCAGTGGAAAGTTTTTTGTGAGTTTGGGTTATAAGGAGGAAAGGAAATACATATACTACCTCAGAAATTTTCCCCTCTGCTAAAGTCAAAGAAGTCACACATTTATGCACACACACACGCACGCGCGCACACACACACACGATTGTGTTTTCTTTACTAACTCCTCTCATCCAACAGAAACTCTTCAGGCAACACATGCATGAATGAAGCAGTGCTAAATTTCTTTTAAGAGCACTTGAAAAGTCATAATCCTGGCCACTACTAAACCTCAACATGTAGCTTTGGGTTTCTATGTGTGTGATTTTGCTACACTAATCTGAACCTATGATTGATATTGTTTGTTTTGGCTAATTGCCAAGAAAAGGAATTGTCATTGCAGAAATCAGTAAATTCAATGGCAATGTATGTTCAAGTGTATTTCAACAAGGAAAACAACATAAGAGACTGTTCTGAACCAGAGAGCACACTGCCATATTGGCTATGTTTAGAAGATCCTTAGCAGAAATATCTCTCTTTATCTTTCTGTTCATGAACTAAGTCTGTTCTTCCCTTCCTTTACCAGACATCTGTGTCAAGTTTGGGGTGTGTGTGTGTGCGTGTGTGTGTGTGTGTGTGTGTGTACATCCAAATTTTCTCTTTTATAAAGACTATAAAGGCATCAGTCATTTGGATTAGAGGCCCACCCTTCTCCAGTGTGACTTCATCTTAATTACGTATACAGAAAGCTTAGTCTGCAATAAGGTAACAAACTTAGATTCTAGGGGTTAGGACTTCAGTGTCGAAATTTTAGAGGGACACACAGTTCAGCCTACAGCAGACCTGACTTCCCACACATCAACAGGTAGGATGCTGAGTAGCAGCTGCCCGCTTTGCATAGACTTTTCTTCTCACTTCTCAGGAATCTGCATCACAGTAAGCCAATTTCATGCATTTATACAACCTGCCTGGCCCTTGCTGGCATTTAAGTTTCAAGTCTTGATCCACACAGTCTTATGCTGTCAACTCACACAGCATAACTACATACCTGGAGTGTTTTCCCAACACAATTGGAGCTGTGCTGGCCACACTTAATCCCTTATTGTCACAGACAGAAAGTCAGTGAAGCTCAGAGTTAATGGGTAGTAGATAAGAAAGCAAAACTAAAAGAGCTGATATCATTATCCCATGTTCTTTCCATCAATTGAAACATGCCTGGAAATGCCCACATACAGCACTTTTCCTGACTGCTGCATTTCTGCCCAGGCTCCCATCTGAAGTGCCACCAAGGAAGGGATTCTGAGGGGTTAGCTCCCTGTGGATAGGGAGAGACCCTGTTTTAAAGAATAAAGCAGAATGACAGGGCAGGACACCCAACTTCCTCCCCTGGTGCCTCAATCTCCCCCCGCCCCCAGGGGAGAACCCAGTCTATTTTCTTCATTTACTCTGTTTTTCTTTTAATTGAAGCCCATGATGTAATGAATTCTAGAATTTTATCAGAAATGTTGGGCATGCCTGCTGGCACTCAAGTAAGAGGAAATAAGCCACCAGTAAAAAAAGAAAAAAATCAGGTGTCTTAGTCCTCATGACTTAATCACCTCCCCAAAGGACCCACACATTGAGGGTTAGATTTCAGCATATAAAAGTTCAGCAGGCAGAAACACTAGACCATAGCAGTTTTCCTTAAAATAGACTGCACATTGAATAGGGAGCTGCCCAAACACTTACAATTTGGAACTTGATTACATAAGTCCTTATAACTTGGCCTCAGCTGGTTTGATTGAAAAGTCATTTAAAATCATTATAAGAGCAAGAAAGTATGTAGATATGTGCTGATGTGTCATTTTCCTCCCCAGGTTATTTTTGAAGTTGCTTTCAATGGTCCCAAAGGCGGTTATGTTGCCCTGGATGATATTTCTTTCTCTCCTGTTCACTGCCAAAGTCAGACAGGTGAGCACTTTATTTTTCCTCCATTTGGAATTTGCTTTTCTCATTAGATGTATTTAGTCAGCACTTTCTTTAAATTGTCTTTAATTTCCTTGCCTTTTATCTTGTATTTAAAAAGCTAATTAACTGAATAATCATTTTTTCTGGACTATTACCCTCTTTCATTCCTCCCTGAGTGAACTTAACTTTTCTGAAACTATACACGGGTTGTATTAAGGCACTTTTGTCTTCCCTCCCTACTAGGAAAAGAAAAATTAAATAGTATTAATTTATCCTAACCCATTTATTTCTTTCTTTAAAGATTATCTTGGGTCCATTGATGGGGAGCTAGATAGGTTAAAAAAATGCTTTTACAACCTATTGAATAGAATTCTAAAACTCTACTTTTAAGTATTCAAGATTTATAAATGTCCTTGTTTTTATAGATATTAGTATTTGGTTGGTATCTCTGGGTTGGTTTTAACCCCCCAAAAATGCTCTTATTCCCTTTTTAAAAGTGAACCCTTACATAATTTTATCATGGCCAAACCTATAATTCCATAACTTTGATGTTTGAAAAGAGAGGGAATTCTCTACTTTCTGGGGAAATAGATGAGCAATTGATTCCAAATGATTTAATGAACAAATGTTTTACAACAAGAAGGATGACAGTATATTAGTGATGACCCAGATAAATGCATTTGACCTGTTTGTTGAATTAGTTTCCTTGCAACACTCAGGGAGACACTGTGCCCATCCCACCTTACTAATGGGCACTCTTTCTGTATGTGGAGCATGGGCAATAAGCTGTTGAACCTGACCTTTATGGCCTGACTTTTTTTTTTCAGACAGAATTGGTTTCTAATGTTTTCAGCTATATCCTATCAAGGAGATTGAGATAATATGTTCTACTCAAGCTAAATTATTATCCCCAAATTAGAGCGAAACCTAATTTTCTGAAACTAAGTATTTTTTATTAATTATAATTTTTTAGAAAGGAGTTAAATGAGACAACCTCAAACCCAGAACTTCATGTGTGCTAGGCAAGCCCTCTACCACAACCCTCTCCACCTAGTTCTGTATTTACATATTTTAAATGATTTAATCCAAATGCCTAAACAGCCCTTCAATTTTAAAGAACACAGAAAATTTTTTTATGTCTCAGAAATTTGATTGCTCTCTTATACTACTAGTTAATGTCTCAATTATTATAAGAGTAATTTCATAGCATCTTTATAATTTTTAAAGTGTCTCTTTTCTGTTACTGGGCACTTACATTGAGCTTTTCTGTTTTCAAGCTATGCATATGGGAGAAGAAATATTTATTCAATATCTGTACTGGGTAGAGAATAGGATGAAAAAGTAGCCAGGAGGTGACAGAGTCAGCCTTTACAAATGTGCACCTTCTAAAAGACTGCAGAAGGCGTATTTCAACGAGACTCCCTTGGTCTAACTGGAGAAGGGAAAAGAAAGACTCCAACAAAGTGAAGCCTACTTGAAAGGGCCAGTGGCCAGTTTGCAATATACCCACACAAAGCCTCTTTCCCTAAAGAAACCTCCTCCCTATATCTTTTCATACAGTAGGCTAACCAGGCTCCATATGGGTCTTCAGAACTTCCCACCACACTAACCTGGTTTTACACACCACTTAATTGCATCATTATATGCAATTATATGCCCAAGAACAAGGACTTGGCGTTTCACTCCTATTCTCCCATTTACAAGCTAAGTGTCATAGTATTTAACCACTTTGAGATTCCATTTCCATAGCTACAGAGCAAGGAATCTGTTTCGCAAAATAGTTGTGAAGATGAATGAGCTAATGTGTTTGAAGACAGAAGTATAGAACATGAGACACAGAAAATACTTGGTCATGAAATGATATTACTTAGTTTTCAAAATACATTTATCTATTCCCGGGGGAAGGAAGGAGGATCAGACGAAAGCTAAAGAGAACCAGCAAAGAATACTGCCCTGGGATTCTGCCAGCCAGCTCTAGTCTACTTTACCCTTCACAGAGCAGCTGAAGGATAGATTCCGGATCCCTAGAAGCTGAGTCCATTATCTTTCGTACTTCATCTTACTTTTCACAGTTTATTCCCTTCTGCTTCATAACAGATACCAACTTTTCCTTTATCTTGATTAGCTCTAACTTCTTATCTTCATTTTCTCCAGCTGGATCTACAGTTTGTTCCCCTTATCTCTTGAGATGACTGAAACATGATTTCCAAGTATGGAAAGCTTATTGAGACATTAAGATTAATGTGTGCTGGATAGCTTTAGTTGTCATGGGAAGCAAGCTAAAGCACAGTGTTAATCCAGTTTCCGAGAAATGAGAGGAATCATAGGTGTTAAACACCAGAGTCTTGCTGCTCCCCCCAGTTACTTCCAAGAGACAATGAGAGCCCTCATATATACACTGAGTTATATGCCCTTTCCATGTCCTTTTCACCCACAAATGCCCTTGGTCCAACTTGCATGTGTGTCCAACCCATGGCTCATGGGTTTCATACAGCTGAGGATAGCTATGAATGTGACCTAACACAAAATTACAAGCTTAACTTAAAATTTTATGACTTTAAAAGTTTTATTATTTTTTAAATTTTTTTATGCGTGTATTGCCTGCATGTAGGTAAGTGTACCCATGTCATGAAATGCCCACAGAGGACAGAAGAGGCTGTTGGATCCCCTGGAACTGGAGTTACGGACAGCTGCTAGCTGCCATGTGGGTGCTGGGATTCAAACCTGGGTCTTCTGCAAGAACAGTCAGTGTTCTTAACCGCTGAGCCATCTCTCTAGCCCCTGACTTTTAAAAGTTTTTAAAAACTTGATTGAGCAGTCTCAAGCATAAATTTTGCAGGTGAAGATATCTTATTGCAATGTCAAAAGCTTGGACAGCGCTGGGAGTCTGTACTAGCAGATTAGACTTGTTTTTTCATCTATAAATCCTCAAATGCCCAACAGGCCATCTTTACTTCTAGGAAGCCTTAATGCCCAACTCCAAATTGCTGTGCCACATACAGGCCCAACCTTCATTCCACTCTAAACCCAGGCCAGAGTCTGTAAGCATCCTGACTCATGGTTACTCAGAGATACAGAGCTCAGAGGACCACATAGGCCAACGGGCTGTTCGCCAACAATGAACTGCCCAGATTTCTTGTCTAGTTGCAAGCTCAGCTGCCGTTGCTACCAAAATTGCAGGTGAAGTTGCTCTAATTTTCCTTGTCTCAAATACCCTGAAATGTCTTCCCTGCCTATTCAGGACCAAGTCCCTGTGCCATTATGGTTCAGAGTCCAAGGCCAGATCCCACTCACTCTTTTCCCAGCCAGATATGCACTGTCTCCACTGTCTTCAGGCTGGCTTATAGGAAATAAAACTGCCTTCAAGGTTAGGAGCCTTCACAGTACACTGTACCCAGTGCTTGTCTCTTTTAGCACTCCCAGAGTGTAAGAGCCTTTTAGATCTGTAGGACTGATGCTTACTTTGTCTCCATGAGCTCCATGGAGCAGAGGAAAGAAGGAGAATCACTCCAACTACTCTTCCCAAGCTGCAGTGCACTTCAGCTAATTAGATTGTCTTCAAAGCCTCACATTTCTGAGAAGTTCAAATGTTAGCGAGAAAGTAACTAATGCTTACATGAAGATGCTTTTTGGTAACTTGCTTTAAGGGACTTTATTTCTTTTTATTTTTTCCTCTATCATCATCTAATGTCAGTATTCCTTCCCATGCACCCAAAATGTCGTTAGCACTCAGTTTGTGATCACCACTTGACCCACACTTCTGAAACAAGCTGCGGGTGCAGGCTTTGCCTCCAGATGAAGGGCAACTCTCTGGGGGGTTCCTATCTTCAACTCTCAGATACTGTCAGAGCATTCTGGGTGAAAAAGATTTAGCCTGTGACTTCCGCTTTTGGAATTTCCTTGTATCAGATCACAGGTAAATCCACTTATAAGACCAAGTAAGTATTTAGCAAGTAAATATAATAACATGAACAGAAAACCATTTTCTGTGTGACTCAGTGTGTTACCATGGAAAAAAACTGATCCTTGCTTGTTTTCAAGTTGTGTGCTTTGTTTTAATAGACTGGTTTAGAGTCAGCAAAGTGAGCAGAAATCACAGGGATAAGTCGTATGTCCTCTCCCACATACACATCTCTGTCACCTAGACTCCATAGTTTATGTTAGGGTCTGTTGTTAGTATTTCATGTTCTATGGGTTTGATAAATGTACAGTGACATGTACCCACATTACAGTGTAATACAGATGATTTGTCTTTGCCCTGTACTTTCACTGTGTTCCTAAATTTGCTTTTCCCAGAATGCCCTACAGCTAGATCTACAGCTGGATCATGGAGACTTCTCAGACTGACTCCCTTCACTTAGCAATGTACATTTATGTCTCCTCCATTCTTTCCATGGCTCCATAGATCATTTCTTTTTAGCACTGAACAATATTTCAGTGTCTTTTGTACCACAGTTTAGGTGCCCATTCACCAAGGACATTATGACTTTCTACATTTGAATAGTTATAAATAAAACTGCCAAAAACATTGGAGTTTTAGCACTACCTCTGCCCCCTTCTACATACCTAATCAATGGATTAAGAATCTCTTGCAGACACCTAGGGGTGCTGCTTTGAGATTCATTCCTGGTGAGTAATTTCAGTGACCTGTTGTTCTCTTTGTGACCAGCGTTTGGGAGTGCCTCACCATTTCCTGAGCCAAATGGCCCGCTGCAGATTTTGAATTTTCATCTGTTTTTCATTACCAGATAGCAGAAGGTTGGCTAAGACTTGAGACCATAGGGTTTCCTCTGGTCTCTACCATCCATGGGAGACTGCTGACGGGTCCTTATTTGTATTGCATCATATTCATACTCAGTTTTTAAAAGCTTTGTTTTCTGGGCGTAAAGATACATCCTAGTTTAGCTGAAGTGGGCAGAGCAGGGTGAGGGGGACTCACTAGGCCTTCAGTTTTCATTTCCTTTTCTACTATCTGATGCATCAGAGTTTGTTGCTAGGGCATGTGACCTGAAATGCTATCATGTTCCAGTTACATGGAAACATTTTCTTCTTATTCTCTTTTCTGTAATGTTTTGTTAGTCATTAAAGAAAAGAAAGAAAGTGTTTTTGGAACTCCTTTTGTGCCATTTCAAACACAAATTTTTAAACAATACCATTCGGAGCTCCCATCTACTCTTCACTCAGACCTATAGATGGGCAACATTGGCCACGCTTGCCTCATCAGTCATTGAAAAGAAGGTGGCAAAAACATGGTACTTTTATTCACTGAAGTTTTCAATGTGTGTTTTTCAATACCAAACACATTCTCCAGTATAACTATAGAATAATTATGAAGTTTAGGAAATTTAATACCGATACAATATTACCAATGAATTCACAATCCATATATTAATCCATATGCTAATCCATATTATTAATCCAACAATGTCCTTTATAGTGATGTGTTTTTCTGTGATCTTGGAATCCTTTCTGTGAATCTTGTGATCCTTGTAACATTTTGTTTAATTCTTCTTTTGACCCTCTTAATCTGGGTCAGTTCAACCCACATGAATGCTTTCCTCGTTTGAAAATTAACAGAGAACACAGTCTTGTCCTTCTTGTGTCACCAGCTCACTGCTCCCAGAGCACAAAATTTTATCTAGAGATGATTTTCCAGTTATAGAAAACAATAGCTTCCTTTCTGGCTCTAGAATGTTCTAACAGTATCTCTCAGCATACAGGCTAGTTTCACATTCGGCTGCACTTACAGTGTCCTAGACCGTTGTGGTCACAGCCCCTCTGACCCCAGAGGGCAGCATAAGCTGTGAGACTCTGAGTTGTGTCATTTGGACTGACCCTTATTCTCAAAAGAGCAGAACTCTTCAATGTTCCATTCTGTCCAGGCTGTTTGGGCTAAAGTGATACTATGGACCAGGATAAATGATACCCAAACTCAGACAAATCAGAGCAATAGCAGCCCCCGAAAGACCTGGTGTGACTTTTGGACTGTGAGATTTAAGCTGAGGGCTGGTTTTCTTCAAGTGCTACAGCTCTTAATGTCAATTATAGCTGCTTTAATGCAGAGACTGGTCAACAAAGGAAAATTATTCCTGTAAAAAACTATTTCTAAAATGTATAGTAGAGAAAACTCAAGAGTCCCTTAAAATCCTCTCCTTTTACTTTCTTTCAAATTTTGTTGGAGTGGATTTTGAAACCTCAAGACTTGTTTGAATAAATGCTGACATTCTTTGCATTCTAAAAGGAAATCTCCTTTGAAGTCTAGTACTTATTTATTTTTTTACAGAATGTGATCAGAGCTCTTTCCTCCCCTCCTTTTAGAAAGGAAAAGAACAGTTTTCCAGTCGTGTTGAAATACTGGCCAACGCTAACCTGTCAGCCTGCTATTTGGATAAAAATATTTTTTTGTGGTTTTCTCCCTCAGTCTTCCCCTGGCACAAATGTAACCTTATCTATCAACTGGCTGATGACATCCTTTGAGATCCTAGGCTTTGACTGTAATTTTGGTTCTCATTTGCTCAGAGCTTCCTTTCACTACTGTGGAAATAAGATGCAATTTCGAAGAAGATCTCTGCAACTTTTACCAAGATAAAGAAGGTCCAGGTTGGACCCGAGTGAAAGTAAAGCCCAACATGTATCGGGCAGGAGACCACACAACAGGAGTAGGTGAGTCAGGGTCTGTCTGGCAGCACATCTCAGGGTTATGATCATACAACACTTGCTGATCTCATTCCATACCTACAAAGACAGTGACTGAAAAAAGGGGCCATGGGGATGGGGGCAAACCAAAGAAGCAGTAACAACTGCTGATACTATGATCGACCATTTAAAAAAGTTGTAATTCGAGTTGCTATACTGGTACAAAAGCTTCGCCAGTTCATTCATTAGCCAAATCTTTGGAAATTATGCTCTTCATTTTGGATAAAATATTTTTAAAAAATTAGATTCCACTTATATGAAATTTCCAGAATAAAGAAGTCCTCAGAGACAGAAAGCACATTAGTGGCTAACAGGGGTTGGGGAGGGAGGGAGAAAGAGTGGCTGTGTGATGGCTGTGGAGTTTCTTTCTGGGATGATGAAAATATTCTGGAACTAGATAGTGGTATTGGTTGCTATTGCTTTAAAATTAACAACTGAGTGTATAGTGAATGTACCAAATATCCCTGAAATATTAACATTGTTAAAATAGGAAATTTCATATTATGTATCTTATTGCAATGAAAAATACTATGGGGAGACAAAAGCTATTGGAAATGTTGAGTGGATATTTCATGGGCTTATCCATCCCAGAACTCAGAGTCTGAACACCCTTTGAATACTGCTATTCACTACTTTAATGGCATCTCTGTGGATCCCACTCCAGGAGAAATGGAGAGGGCCTTGATCGTAAACATTTTCATATATCGTTCATTTATTCATCAAGTATTTCTCTTGGGTGCTGCAATAAATTTAACATGCAGTTGAAGGAGCTCGAGTGCTAGGTCTCCTTGCTTGCATAGCCCCTGACCTTGGAAAGGGCCCTTGTGATTTTGTAACTAGAATTTTATATTCTTTTCTTGGAGATTGCCTAACTTATGGAAATTCAGTCCCTACAAAGCCTAGTTTAAACTTGGGCAAACTAACCCACAGACAATGCCATAGTGAATCAATAAATATGAACCTCGCCCTCATTGGCTGACAACCATGACAATAAGTAAGGGAACTGTAGACAAACATATGCACAAATGAACATGATTCCAAATTGCAGCAAAGGCTGTCTAGGAGAAAAGTTTTCCCTCCGCCCTCTTAGTTTCTGTGGCAGGGACTGAGAATTAGGCCGACCTAAGACAGGGTAATAGAATATTTGTAAATGCATGAGGGATCTTTCATAGGTAAAATGAAGACTAAAAATTCACATGGGGGCTGGAGAGATGGCTCAGCGGTTAAGAGCACTGGCTGCTCTTATAGAAGACTCAGATTTCATTCCCAGTGCTCAGACGGCAGCTAACAACCATCCATAACTCCAGTTCCAGAGGATCGATCCAACGTTCTCTACTGACCTCCACTGACAGTGCACTACCTGGGTGCACCTACCAACATGCAGGCAATACACTCATACACATAAATAAAATAAAATAAAATAAAAATAAATAATAAATTTGCATGGGACTAAAAGCTTAAATATGATTTTAACAAAGAATGATAAAATTGTGAAAAGGTAACAATATAAAGAAAAAGGGCTAAGCTTCCAGGGATGGTAAGTGATAAAGAAGTGAGCAGGAGAAGCATGGCTGACACTAATGAAAGACCAGGAATTTGTTCGTAGATTTGTTTACACAGATCGGCTTTGGTACACATCCTAGTCCCTGGGGGTAAAAACGCCGTTTTCCTGAACAGGATGGGCACCTTACTCACGGGAAGATTTTGAACTGCTCTTAGAAAATGAGAGGGCTGGGAGCCCTTCTGGCCTCTGCTGTTTCTCAGATGCTTCCCCTCAAAACAACGTGCCAAAGCATCGTATTTGGAGTGGTCTGTTCTGATAGATGTCAGAGCTCTGAGAGACAGAGAAGAAGGAACCAAATTTTGGTTAGGGATTTAGGGGTAGTTTCTTTAAGGGAAGCTGCAAAGGATAAGGCCTTTGAGTGTGGGAAGAACTCACCACACCAATGAGTAGGAGGGACAACATGCTCCCCAACCGGGAGTGGAAGAACATAAAGACAGAGGGAGACGGATCATGGCTTGGCAGACCACAGTGAGTATCTGGGGTTTTATTATGAAGGAAATGAGAGGCCACTGAAAGCTTTTGAGCAAAGAGAACAATGACATTTAGGTTACAAAAGGGTCCGGCTGTTGTATAACCACCCGTACTGATCCATTGCCATAACAAAGTACCACAGACTTGGACTTAATAATGTGCTTATCCTCACAGTTCTCGGGGTGGGAAGTCTGAAATCAAGGGAACTTGAGGGTTGGTGAGGCCTTTCTTCCTGACTTACAGGCAGCAGTCTTATCGCTGCATCTTCATGAGTACTCTGTGAGTGGAAAGAGAACTCTCTCTCTTCTTTTGAGTTCAATACTAAGGTAAAACTAAATTGTAGAGCAAACCCTGGAGTGCCATGAAGAAAAATGACAGAGAGCGATCAGAAAAGGAGAAAAAACTGTTCAGTCCTACTTGGCTTCCTCAGATATGTGGATCTATTTTAAGTTTACCATGTGGGTAATGGGGTAGGTACCATTCCTGATAGTAATTTATGTTATGTAGAAGAAATAAGAGAGAGCCCGGATCTTTATCATCTAGGAGGGACCATCTAATTAAAAATCTACTCTTGAGGGGAAAATTTAACATGCAACCAAGAGAACAGTGGGTTCTGTCCAGACATAGAAACTCCACAGTGATGCCAGACCAACCTGCCTTCCCACTTCCTCGACTGGCCACTACAGAGGTGAAAGGGGAAATGTGCTTTTGACCCTCCATTGACCATGATTCAGAACTAGATATCAAGCTGATTGACCCAAAGAGCCAGTAGCTCCAAACTAATTCATTTGTGTGTGTGTTGTAAAGTCTAATTCTTAATTGATGTCAAGAAATAGCCTGTGCATCATGAGATCTATACCGGCTTATTACATTTGCTTGGATTTCTAGGAAGTTTCATCTGCAATAGAGGCACAGGATATTTGGTAGCTATTTTATGTCTCTTAAACCACAGATGGAAAAACACCTTCTATCATTTGAAGCTTATGGAAGTGTCTCTGCTGGCAAATCCCGCTACTTCAGTCAAATTTCCCACCTGACAAGCTAGGCTGGATCCTTCTGTGTGGCTGTTGCATTAAGTGCTTTGTCTTTCTTACAGGATATTACTTGCTGGCCAACACCAAATTTACATCCCAGCCTGGCTACATTGGAAGGCTTTACGGACCCTCTCTGCCAGGAAACTTGCAGTATTGTTTGCGTTTTTATTATGCCATCTATGGGTTTTTGAAAATGAGTGACACCCTAGCAGTTTATATCTTTGAAGAAAATCATGTGGTTCAAGAGAAGGTCTGGTCTGTGCTTCAGTCTCCAAGGGGTGTTTGGATGCAAGCTGAAATCGCCTTTAAGAAGCCCATGCCTACCAAGGTACAGTAGCACCTGCACCCTGTGTGCATTTTCAGTGACTGGATAAGGCTAATGGTTTCTGTTAGTTACTGTCCACTGGTGGTGTGTTATTCTTCTGTTCAGGCTAATACCTGTCTGCTCCCAACACATATAACCTTTCCCCTGAAGAGGTGCATGTTAATTCTTCAGTTCTTTTCCATTTTCTGAATCACAACCATCTAGGGAGTTTTTCTCTTAAGATTCCCAGCATATTGTGCTGAAATAATAAAATTCTCTCTCTCTCTCTCTCTCTCTCTCTCTCTCTCTCTCTCTCTCCAAAAAAAAACAAACCTCCTTCTTCACTGAGACTTTAAACACCTAAACCTTTAGCTGAGCATAGAACAAACATAGAATGATCATTAAAAATATGATTCCCAGAGTAGAGAGATGGCTCAGCGGTTAAGAACACTGGCTGCTCTTGCAGAGGACCTGGGTTGGAGTCCCAACACCCACATGATAGCTAACAACCATCTGCAATTACAGTTCTGGGGGATCTGACACCTTCTTCTGACCTCTTTGGGCGATGCACAACATGGGTAAACTTACATGCAGGCAATATACTCATATACATAAAATAAAAATAATAAATAAGATATTCTTTCAAAAAGTTAAAATATGGAGCCAAATTGGCCCCAGTCACAAAGAATTGACCTAGGGAGCCATCGGCAGCTAATTTTAAGAGCAATGAGATACAAAAACAGACCTATATATCAAAGAGAATACAAAAGAAAATCAGTAACCTCTCAGCCTTAACAACTCATAAACTTAAGGCAGTTTTGCAGATATACTAAATTCTGTGGACTATAGCAAGACATGAAACTACTGTGGGAAAATTTATTTTGTTTCAGCCTGTCAATCAACTAACAAATATCTTTAAGTATCCTCTCTGTGCAAGAAAAAAGACCCAAAGAAAAAGGGGGGGGGGGAGTCTAAATATAACTCGCACAATCGCACAATGGGAGCTCAGTAAATATTGTTGAATGAATGATGAATCCACTGATCATGCTCACTGTCCAGGAGTCACCCCAACTCAGGCTCCCCAGGAAAGCAAGGGACTCTAAGTTTGTTTCCTAGATGATACCAAACGTTTTCTGAATGAGTCTTTCTTTCTTCAGATGTCATCTACACTTGCAGCGTTGTTGAACTTCCTCTGTGATCTATTAGACCTGGAGAGACCCAGGCCTCTCGTTACCTTTTAAGGATCTCAAAGACTGAATTATTTTTCCATTACCAATTATTTAACTCTCATAAATAGGGTGTATGTGTGTGTGTGTGTGTGTGTGTGTGTGTACACACACACACACGCACATGCATACACACACCAGATTTACATAATCAAGATGCACAAAAAAATAAAATTTTTGTTGTACTTTAAACTCTGTTTTGTTAATTTGTTTTTAAAGGAAGATGTAATAAGCACTTTGTTTATTCATTTGGCTTAGATATATTTCCTCATTTATCTATTTGTTTATTCTTTCATTCAACCAGCATTTATTATGTGTATGATCTATGCAAGGGATATAAAGATAAATGAGTCTCAGATCCTGTTCTTGAGAAGGAGGTCACATATAATAGAAGAGAGGTACAGAGAGATCTAACTTTAGTGAACGTCACTGTCCCATGGAAGGATTGCCGAGAAAGAAATAGGAATGTTTTTACCAATTGTTACTGAAAAGAATGTCATCTAGACCCAGCAGAGCTGATGTTTGGAGGGTCAAAGTTCAAGCCATGGTAGCCTCTAACAACTGCTCTCCTTCTACTTCTCACCCCTATACCCTCTACTGGCAAATACTTGGACTGTTTGGGAATCTGCCCATTCCTTTACAGTGGGTCACTGTTCTTACCTGAATCCCATGAAACTAGAACAACCCTGCAGCAGGTAAGGGTATCCCCAGAGAATTTGCTCTTTTCTTTGAGGCTGAGCACCAAACCTCCCAGTCATGGCACAGTTTCTCCCCAACCATATAGGAAAAAGTGGATCCAGAGCCAGGAAAGTTCTTACAGCCCTTGGAAAGGAAGTGTGCTCGGATTCAGACCCAAGTTAGATGAGAGGATGGCACAGTTCAACACCAGAACCTTCCAAATCCATGTTTGAGGGTAACTCTAGTACTAAAATATCCCTGCTGAACTAGCTCCTCAGAGTGCGAGAAGCATTTATGACCAATGGTACAGGATGTGTTAAATGTGGAGGAAATGTAAGTTCACTTACCTGTAGAACACACAAAGGTAGAAATAGACATATGAAAGTTACTTAAGATGGGGTAGATTGAAAAGTCAGTTTCCATCACTACTGCCTACCTCTGAACTCAGATTCTACTTGTTTTCTTCCAGATTTTTTATGATTTCTTCTATAATTCTAAATATTTTATTCTTACCTTATTTGTATTTGATGATTATTTGCTATGAAAAGATAGGGAATTCTCTTTCTCACAATTTTAGTTGTTTTCATTTTGTCCCTTTCTCTTGATTCCACCTACATCTTTAAGTATGTCTCTATGTTTATTTTTGGATCCACAAACTTTAGACTGTTCTTGACATCCACTTTATAAGATGAATAAATTCTCACCCCTATATTTTCCTTCATTTTCTTTGCCCATATCAGATGTACAGTTGTTTTGACGTTGTTGTAACCTATAACATGCAATTTACATTCCTGCTAAGCCTCTGTCCTTGGCCTGTGACTGGATATCCAGAGGCCCTGTTGAGGAGGACAATTCTGCCTTTGTGTAGAGCTATCCCTCGTATTACTGATTTTTAACTTTTGTGATTACTGCAACAAAATTATTTGCTCACATGTCTAAATGTTCCCACAGGCTGATATCATGTCATCCTTGGATGAGAACCATTAGTCCCAGAAGTTGATTCTGAAAATTAAAAAAAAAAAAAAAGACCATGTTTGCTTCACTATCTGTCCTCTGTTTGGTAGCAGAATTATGATGAATGATGAACCCCTCCCCTGCCACAGCCCCTTGACTCTACCCTTAGGAAAAAGTATCTGTGTGCTTTCTTTTTCTGTAGTAATAGAGATTGAACTCTCCTGAAACCAGACTTTGGTAGAACAGCAGATTTTTGGTAGATGAAGATCTCAGCAAGTACATGCCTATGTGAAGTTGATGCCCAGGTCTCCCCTGAGATGCTGGGAGATGTTCCTATATGCTCTTGGAGTTGGTGAATTGTCTTCCTGCTCCTAGAAATCTGGAGTTAAGTTTCTGGTGCTTTTGTAAGCCCCATTCAATGTCGCAGAGATAAGTTTTTCAGAAATAAAACACCAAATCTGTGTGATTGCTCCAAACCTTCATTCCATTTAGAAAAGGGTGTTAAGTCACAAAGCACCCAAAATAAGCACAGGGGGAAGGCTTGTCAGCTGTTACATGTTGTCTGGAAGCTTCCGTTGCTGCTCTCCATAGTTTAATCACTTGGTATTTATTTTAACTTATTCTAAACTGCTGGAAGCTTATGAGATCTTTCTGAACATATTGAGCTTAGCATACATTTTTATAATAGTTGGAATTTGTAATGACTACGATTTTGAAATGAACCTGCTGGAACTTCTAGTTTCACTTCAACCTGGGTTGGAACCAGAGACAACTTGGTTGTTGATCAGATATCTACTTTGTGCTGAGTAGCGAACTCTCTTACTCCCAATCCTTAACGTCCTACAAAAATATAACCCAAATTACAGATGAGCTCTATGCATGGATTCTGTGTATCGTTATTACAACTGTCAAGGGCAAGGGCTTCTAGTGAACTCTTTCTAACATTCCACTAGATGCCACAGCTCCTTAAGGAGGGAAAGTATTAACCCGCTTAACAGACAAGAGAAGCTCAGACAGAAAAGTAAGGGTATTGTTCAACATCACATAGCTCTTAGAGGCAGAGTTGAGAGGTGGATTCAGGACTCACTGACTGCAGAACAAGTGCTTTCTATACAATGTGTATATGCCACCCAGCTCTCTCCTGGCTGGTGTCAAATTACAGGATCATGTGGAAAGGAAGGCCTAGCCCTGACAGACAGGATTGAATAAATAAGTGCAGGGCTTTAGTGAACTGACTCTCCGTTTAGAAATAAGTTTGGCTCCTGGAAGGCATCAAAATTCAAGATAGTTCAGCACAGATAAAGGAGAGTAGCGAGTTAGAGGAAGGAGGCAGCACACTGCTGAAGGCACTTGGCTGGGTTCTCTGCCAGTCATGGCTTCACAACTTGAGCTGGTTATGTGACCCTGTTTCTCTATGTAACCTTCACTTTTCTTTCTTGTATAAAATGGCATCTAGTAGTACTTTCTGTGTAGGATTTTCCTGCAGATCAAATGAGATCAGGTAAAGCCTATAGTATATTTTCTGAGGCATAATTAACACAATAAATTTAGCTCAACACAGACACAAAGAAAGAAGGACCAAAGAATGTTTTTCTAGATCACAAAACTTATTTAGTACATGGATAATTTTGCACCTTGATTTTTTTTCTGTGAAATGCTAAAAATAGGGTCAGAGTTAAATCTTTTTTAGCAGTACTAGACTTTAAGTGGATGGCAACCTTTACATATCATGAGCCCTACAACAATATTGTGTGTGTGTCTGTGTGTCTGTGTGTGTGTGTGTGTGTGTGTGTGTGTATGTGGTGCACATGGAGTCCAGAGGTCAATTGACTGTCTTCCTCAATCACTCTCCAGAGAGACAGAGTCTCTATCTTCTTTTTTAAAAAGCTGTGTGTGTGTGTGTGTGTGTGTGTGTGTGCATGCGTGCATGTGCCTGTGCCTGTGCCTGTGCCTGTGTGTCTGTGTATGAGTATATGCATGTGAGCACAGCTGCCTGAGGAGGCCAGAGGTGTCAAATCCCCTGGAGTTGGACTTACAGGTGATTGTGAGCCACCCAATGTGGGTGTTCAGAATAGAACTCTGTCCTCTGCAAGAGCAGCATGTGCTCTTGATGGCAGAGCTATCTCTTCAGTCCCAAGAGTCTCTTACTGAACCTGGAGGTCATCA